GGCCCTGGGGGCAGGACACAGCTTCCTTCCCATGTTCCCCTGCAGAGAAGCAGCGGGAGCTGGCCCGGAAGGGCTCCTTGAAGAATGGCAGCATGGGTAGCCCTGTCAACCAGCAACCCAAGAAGAACAATGTCATGGCCCGGACCAGGTAGACACCCCTCTACCCCACCTGGACCCTGTCAGTCAGCACCTATCTCTGCTGGTCCTGAGCTTCCTCCTCTTCCCTCCTTCCTTAGGTCCAGCTCCTCTCCAAAAGGAGAGAGCCTCAACAGGATCCAAGGTGGGGAGGGAGGGAGGGACATGGTGGGGTTGGGCCCAACCCAGTCCCCTGCCAGGCTTGTGTGCTCCAGTTGCCACTCCAACCCCCAAATTCTCCACCCAGGCTGGTCGTACCCAATAAAGGCTACTCCTCGCTTGACCAGAGCCCAGATGAGAAGCCACTGGTAGCCCTTGACACAGACAGGTGTGTATGGGGCCTGGGGACAGCTGGGCAAGCCAGAAACTGGTATGAGCACAAGTGGGCTGTACAGGCCCCACCTGCTGTACTGTGGAATTGGGGTGTTCCTCAGACAGCCAGGGGGCTCTCCAAGGTTGAATCCCCCAGGGAATGGGATTTTTTAACTGGGGAAAGGGGAAGCAGAGAGAGGAAAGGGGGGCTGGCGCAGTATGCTGCTGTCCTGGGAGAACTGAGCCAATGGCTGCTGCTAGAATGGGCCCTGATGTCGTCCCTGAACAGCAGGATGCAACGCTTAATGCTCTGCCCCCTCTAAGAGAGGAGCCCTACTCGCTAGGAACAAACCTGGACCTCAGAAAAACCCAACACACCAGGGTGCTTTGAGCCCGGAAAAAGGGGCGGGGGTGGAAGTGGAAGGAGTGGCAGCTCTGTTTAGAAGGGGGTTAACCCTAGCAATTTACTTAGAAGGGCGGGGCTAGAGAACCTGTCTTAAAATTGCATTTGCTCAATAAGCTCAGTGTTTATTTAGACTGTGCTGTTTATTTGGGGCCGTGGAGGGTGGGGTGGATTATTGACTGATGGGAGGGTGTAGGGGATTTTCTACTTAATTCCCCTGAATCGCATCCTCTCTGTCCTCCTTCCTCCACGGCCAGCGATGACGACTTTGACATGTCCAGATATTCTTCCTCTGGCTACTCCTCTGCTGAGGTGAGGCCCCACCCCTTCCTGCCCCAGACACCCTGAGAAGGATCACCTCTATCAAGGAGAAGGGTTGGGGCCTACGCCAAATCACACCGAGAGGAGGAATAGGCAAAGATAGGGAGCCCAGTAGAGACGCAGGACCTAGAATAGGACTGGGGATGGGGGTGGGGTGCGGTGGGGGGGCTGGGATAGGACAGAGTCCGAAAGAAGGGAGTCGGTTAGACATTGGCCTTAAGTGCCGGGAGCTCAGGTATGGGGCAGCGCTTGAGATCAGAGCAGGGCTCTTAGATGGGATGGGGTGTGAAATACAGGCGACACCTTATGGGGGCGGGAATGAGGTAGGAGCAGGGCCCGAATAAAGGCAGGACCTGAGATGAGAAAAGAAATTGACTTTAGAATGTAGTGGGGCGGGGGCCTCAGGAGGCTGTGCCTGTAAGGAAGTGAGGTCCGAGATGAGGTGGGGTCTCAATGGGGCGCAGCCTGGGGATGCTGAGAGACTTGGAGTGGGATGGGACTGACATGTGGGCGGGCCTGGGGCGGGACACACGTGGGCCCGGGTTTCGTCTCTTACCCGCCGCCGGAGCCTAACCTCCTCCCCCACCCTTTGTCTACAGCAGATCAACCAAGATTTGAACATCCAGCTGCTGAAGGATGGCTACCGGTTAGACGAGATCCCCGACGACGAGGACCTGGACCTCATACCCCCCAAGTCCGTGAACCCCACCTGCATGTGCTGCCAGGCCACGTCCTCCACCGCCTGCCATATTCAGTAGCGGGCGGGGCCGCCGTGGCCGCAGGGGCAGGTCCGAGCCGGCCAGGCTGGGTGGGCAGGGGCGGACACCTCCCCAGCTCGTCCGCCTGTCCCCCGCCCGGCGCCCCCTACAGCCGCAACCTCGTAACAGTCATTGCTTCCTCCTATGGTAGGACGTGTACCTCTGTGTGTTCATGGAGCCGGAGAAACCAAAACCGGGTCCCTCTCCACCCCGGGGGCTGAGGAGGGGTGGGGGCTATTTTTTCAGTTTCTTGGGGGGCCTACCCATCACCCTGCACCGCCGCCCCCAAGGCTGCAGTCTGGTGTTGAGGAGGGGGAACTGGGTGGCAGGGAGGCCAAGAGTAATGAGTAGGGGGAGGGATCACAAAGCCAGGGGCTTGGCCCCACCCCAGTGAAGCCATGAACCCCTAGCCTCGGCCTGTCACGGAAAGGGGCTTGGAGGGAGAATGGCCCGGGCCTTGGGGACGGGGCCCAGAACCTCGGAGCCCCTCCACGTGCCCCCTGCCGGTCCATGAACCTATTTGCATTTATCCCCTCATCTCTGGATGGGAAGCCTGGCAGAGCTACTCAGCGGGATATTGGCCCCCTACCCACCATCTTGATCACATCAAGAGGAGGCCTTTTTTTCTCCTCTTTGCCCCATTCACCCCTTTCCTTGCTCTCTGGATTGTGGGGGAGGGTAAGGTGGGCCTTGAAGACAGGCCAGGGTTTGGGGTGATATAATACGTCCTCACTTGCCCCTATCCAATGCATCGCTCTGCCCCACCCCTTCCCATCCTTCTGTTCTCTGGTCTCTGTCTCAGGCTGGAAGGGGCAGGTGAGAGGGGGTTAAGGCTGGCCTGGCAAACCCCATTCCCATCCCACCCCAACCCAAGATTCTCTGGAGGCTGATTCCCAGCAAGAATCTGCGAGGAAGCAAGCTCAACTGAGTGGCTGCATGTGTGTGGTAGGGAGAGCCTGGCAGAATGTGTGTGCTTAATGTGTCCGGTGTGAGTCTGTTCTTGGGGTTGGGCCTGTCTCTCCAGGTGTCTGTATCTGCATGTGTCCATTTCTGTCATAGATGCGAGAGTCCATGGTAGCCAAGTGTCTGTGTGGTCTGGTAACAAGAGAGGCTGCTCAGCACTTCAATGGACTGAGAGTCCTGGGCTGGGAGTTAGAAATACGGGTTCTGATCCCAGCTCTAACACTCTCCCTGTGATCTTCAGCAAGCCACTTCCTTTCTCTGGGCTTTTGTCTCCTCAGCTGTAAAATGAGCAGCAGCTGCAATTATTTTTACGGTCCCTTCATACCTGAGGAATTTCTGCGGAGGTGTGTGGGGAGTTCTCTGTGTCTTTGAGTACACCTAGGGGGCTCCCTCAGTTCGCGTCTCTGTGTGGAAAGGGGAGGGGGCAGTTTTAAGTGGATCTGTTTGGGAATACATATGTCTCTGTGTGTGTCTGTGAATGTGTGTATGTGTCTGGGGATGTCTACTGTGTGTGTAGCTGTACAGGGCGTCTGTGGGTCAGAATGTGTGTGCTGCTGCTTCTGCTTCTGCTGCTGGTTTGTAAGGTGGGGGTTAGGAAAGGTAAGGATGAAAAAGAAGAGGGAGGAGGTGATTGGGACCCTCCCCTGTGCTGGGCAATATAGACCTGCCCCCACGGGAAGGAAAATGATAGTGTAGATAGCCTAAAGCTGCTCAGGCCTATGCCCCACAAACCTCATATTCTGGGGCCAAGGTGTACACTCCCTATTCCTCTGTGCTGACACTCCAACATGCTGGCATATCCACTCTCATGTATGCCACTCAAATGCTGCAAGCATGCAATGGACATACCCACAGTCCACACTCTGGATGCCAGTTCTGGGAGGTGGGAGGCTAGAAGAGGGGGTAGTGAGAGGAGGGAGGGAGGCTGCTGGCTTAGGAAGGGTAGCACCTCTCCCTGCATCACATTCGGGAGCTGTCAACTCCAACATGTTGGGGTGCAGCTCTTTACCCTCTACTCCCTCTACCCACTCCTGCCTCCTGTAGTGCAGGTACCCTAGTTAGATGGGAAAAATTTCAAAGGAAGGCGAGGACAGAGAAGGCAACTACAGGGCCCACAAAGTTCAAACTGGCCCCCATCTGTGCCCATCTCCCCTGCCCCAGTCAGCATCCCTCCCCACTCCGTCATCTGGGCCCCAGAGCCAGGCCTCCCACTACCACCACCACCCGGGCTCCTTGACTCACCTTTCCAGAACATGGGTACCTCTTTATCAGGCAGAGCCCCTACCAGGGCTCACTTAGACTGCTGCCTTTGCTGCTCACTTGCTGTGTGATTCTGGCCCTGAGGAACCAGGGAAAGCTCCCTCCCAACAGGACATACCTGACCCCTGGCAAGCAAGGGCTTTAGACTGAGGCAGTGTACGCATGACAGGAGAGGTAGGAAGCTGACAGCAGGCAGCTTTTGGGTCTGGGGAGAGTGCATGGTTCCCTCTTTCCCTGTCTGGGAGGCTGGAGGGGAAGAATCAAGGCCTTAGCTTGCCCCCCTGCCACCATTCCCCCTTGTAGATACTGCCTTAACACTCCCTCTACTCTCAGCTGTGGCTGCCACCCAGCCAGGTTTCTCCGTGCTCACTAATTTATTTCCAGGAAGGTGTGTGAAAGACATGAGCCGTGTATAATATTTTTTTTAACATTTCCATCGCAGTATTGACCATCATCTTTGGTTGTGTATCGTGTAACACAAATAATATTAAAGGCATCAAACAAGCCAGCCTCAGCTCCCTACCTGGGGTATGGGCAAGGGGCAGGTGGGCTGGGAAGGGGAGAGAACTGATTCTCTGAATGCACAGCTCACTCCTCCTCTACCCATGGATTCCCAGGCCAGGGCCTGCCACTGACCTGCTGCATGACGCTGAGCGAGTCACTTGACCCCTCTGAAACTCTGTTTCCTCTTCAATAAAGTGAGAAGCTCAGAAGATCTCCAGGGGCCCTCTGAACTCTTGAAAATTGGTCTCTTTTGAAGGGCTTGAGGCAGGAAGGAATTGGGAGGGTAAAGAGGGAATTGAGTCTCCTCACCTTCCCAGAGATGGTGCTGAGCCATATGATATCACAATGGGCACTGCCCATCCTGGAGGGGGAGGCAGGGTAGGGTGGTGGCAGGAAGGTGGTGAGGAAGGGAAGCTGAGGGATCTCCCACAGGAGGGGATCATAGCAGCTAGGGACACCTGCCAGGCTGGAGGTGTGGGCTGCCTAGCGGAAGCAGTGGTCACTGATGTTCAATTCAGCAGGAGCCCTTGGTTGGTAGAGCCCACCACAGCATCCCCTACATCCCACCATGTTTCTCTTCTCCCATAAGACCAAGACGCCCATCAGCACCTACAGTGACTCCTACAGGGCTCCTACCTCTATTAAGGAGGTCTATAAGGACCCACCTCTGTGGGCCTGGGAGGCCAACAAGTTTGTGACCCCGGTAAGTGGAGGTTGGTGTGGGAGGGGGGACGGGCCAGAATGTATGGCCATGAATATCTGGATGACTGGTGATGTGTGGTGGTCAATATGTGATTGCAATTATTTGTAGCTTTATGTGTCGGTGTGTATGCATTTTATTCATTTGCCTAGGGGCACAGAATTTACAATGGTAAATAGTATAAGATCCTGCCCTCATGGAATTACATCAGGATAGGAGGTGGAGAGAGACAGATAATAAAGAATAAACAATATTTTTATAAATTGTCCAAAATGCTGTAAAGGAAATAAACAGTAATAGAAATGGAAGGAACCAGGGAGAGCTACTTAGATAGGGAAGTCATGGATGACCATTCTCAAGGTGACATTGAGCTGAGACTAGAAAGATGAGAGAACTAGCCATGTGAAGAGCTGAAAAAAATAGGATTCCATACAGAGTGATCAGAAAGTGCAAAAGCCCTGAGGCAGGACTCCATCTACAATGGTGTGTGCCTGTGGGATATGCCAGAAAACGTCCTATAGTCATATTTCATTGTTGTCTCCTTGTGTCGGTGCTTGAAGATGGGTGACCAAGTGGGTCTGTGCAGCTTTCACAAAAGGGAGAAAGGATCTGTGAGTTTGTGACTCTGCCAGAGAATTTACCTGTGTGTATCATCCAGGAAAACTTTGTAGCTACATGTGCCAGGCACCTGGGGTACAAAAATGAAGGGCCAAACCCTGCCTTCCAGGACATCTCAGCAAACAAGTAAATAAAGTTGGCTTGCCCAGTGTGGAGCATGCACCAGCAGAAGCACTAGAAAGGGGAAAGTACTCCTGAAACTCGAATGGCAGGTCTACACAGTGATCTAGGAGGTGGAGGCTTTCAGCAGAAGAGTTCTGAGAAAAGGCAGCCTAGGGCAGGGACCCACCATGAACTGAGAACTGCTAGAGCAGAGGAAGAGCCTAACCCTGTGGTAGGAGAGGAGCTGCAGACCACAAAGGGCTTCTCAGGATATCCTGAGGAGCAGGGACATGATGCTCCAGGCTTTTGAACCTGGGAGTGTCATGTTTGGATTGTGAGTTAGGCTGTTCTTGCCATAGTGCCAGGGAAGTGGAGGAAGTGGGGGCTGAGGGCAGGAAGCCCAGTAAGGTGGTGAAGGATGAAGGAGGAGAATGTGGGTAGGAGGTGAGGAGAAACTGTGGCAGTGAAAAAAGAAATATTTTAGGTGAGAATCTTTAAAATAACACATTTTTTCCTAATTACGAAATAAATACATGCTTAATGCAGAAAATGGGGATAATTCAGAGAAGCACACAGGAAAAGAGATCCATAATCCTGTGACCCAAAATAACCACTGTTAGTATTTTATGATATGCCTTTTAGGAAGCAAATACTGCTTTTTATAAAAATAATGTCATATTGAACTAATATTTTGAATCCTGCTTTTTTCACATAGGCATATATCAGATACATTTTCCTATGTCAAAATATTCTAGAATATGATTTTAATGACTGCATAGTATTCCATCTTCTGAATGTACCATAATGTATTTAAGGAATTTTATGTTATTGGAAATTTAGATTATTTATAAAATGTTGCTAGTGTAATCCTTCTTGTACATATATCTTTGTACATATTTCTGACTATTCCCTTAAATAAATTCCTAGACATGAAATTGTTGAAAGGGTATGCACATTTTTAAAACTTTTGATATACATCTCAAATTGCTGTACATAGGGCTGTAACAATTTATATTCCCACCAGCAAAATATGAGAGTACTTGTTTTTCCACATTTAATTGGAGAGAATTTTAAGAAATAGACCAACAGATCTTGGTCATCATCTGAATATAAGAAGAGGGAAGAGATTAGGATGACTCCAGGATTTTTGGCTCTGGCAACTAGAGGAATAGTAGTGTTACCAACTAAGATTTGGAACAGTGGATTAGAGAGGTATTTGGAGTTTGTTTTGGAACGAAAATATTATGAGAACATCCAGGGAAAGGTATCTGGTGGGTAGGTGGAAACTTATCTGAAGCAAAGGGAAGAGATCTGGGCTACAGATGTAGATTTTGAATCATCAACATGTAGGTGGTAGCTGAAGTCACAGGGGTGGATGAGACTGTCAATGAGTAAGAAAAGGGCCAAGGACATAACTCTGGGGACTATCAATATTTAAGTGGTATAGGTAGATAAAGAAAGAAGAGCCATAAAAGGAGACAGAAAAATATGATCAGAGAGATAGGAAGAAAATAAAAGAGAAACCAATAAAGAGAACATTCTTAGAGAAAAGTGAAGTGGTGTCAAAAGTTGCAGACATCAGAAGGGATCTCTTGGGCATAGTAAGTCTTGGTAACTGCTCGGAACACCTTTAGTGATTGAAAAGGAATAAAAACCAGAGAGCAGTAGAATAAGAATGAAGGAAAGACTTCTGCTTCTTGCAGTATGATGGTCTAGAAACTCTGATGGGCCATCCTGCTTCAAAACAACTAGATCCTGTATAAAAGTCTGTTTTTGTTTTATTTTGGATTCTCATGGAGGTGAGTGGTAAGTACACTTAGAAGATAGGATTGCCCTGAGGACAAATGCCAATGTCAGAACTATAAGCAGGAATTTAAGGCTTAAGTTAGCTAAAAGATGGAGGAACTAAACTTGTAAATTCCAACCTGAATCAGAAGGGGGATAACATAATCTCAGGTTAATAGTGATCCCTGGCTCCCTGTCCCTCCTCCTCCACTACTACCACCACCACTGCTAACACACACACACACGAGACAAATGTATATCTTCTCTGGTGAGAAACACCCTCAATGTAGTTTTCCAGGTATCCTTCAGATTAAGGTAAATTAAATATAAACTCACAATAAGAGATACAAGGAAACAAACCACCGTAAAGACAATCAATAGAAACAACAAACAACAGATTTTAACTCCCAGGACTTCAGAATTGGAATAAAAAATTAAAGAATAAAAAATAATTATTATAAACAAAATTTTTAAAATAAAATGTGAAGTCATCAAAATAAGCAAGCAACAACAGATTATAAAAAATGACTAGACAAATGTAACAAATAAAAATATTTGTTACTGTCAATTTTATATGGAATGGCAAAAGGCCCGAATAGCTAAAACAATGTTGAAAGGGAAGAACAAAGTAGGAAGACTCACATTTCCTGATTTTAAAACATACTATACAGCTACAGTAATCAAAACAGCCTGGTACTGGTATAACAATAGACACATAGACCAATAGAATAGAATTGAGAGTCCAGAAATAAACACACAACTGATTTTTGACACACGTGCTAAGTCCATTCGATGGGGAAAGAAGAGTCTCTTCAATAAATGTGCTGGGAAAATGGGATTTCCACATGCAGAAAAATGAAATAGGATCCATGCCTCACACCACACAAAAAACAAATTTGAAATGGATTAAGGACCTAAATGTGCAAACTAAAACCATAAAATTCTTAGAACAAGAAGCAGGGGAAACACAACTGCCTCTTTTGCCATGAGACCAGAAGAACTGGATGTTGCCTGGCTACCATTACTGAACATTTTGATTAAAAATTCCACAGAAGAATCTTGATCAAAAGGGGGAAAATGCAGAACAGAATTTAAAATTCTAATGGACTCTAGACTTTCTGGAGCAATGGAGGGTGGATGAACCCCTAAAACTATTACCCTAAGATAATCTTTAAACCTTAAACCAAAAATATCCCCTGAAGTCACCTTAAAACTAAACAATAATTTAGTAAAAATGTTCTGCCTTGAGCATTATGCTATTTTAAGAACTATCTGTATGGTGAGAAACTGACAACAGCAACTTGAAAGTTTAGATAGGAACCTAGGGGGCAGTGAGTTTATGCTAACGAGTAAGAAACAACTCAAAAGGAGGGTGAGAATGGTTGCACAACTCGAAGAATGTAATCAATGTCACTAAATTGTACAGGTAGAAACTGTTGAATTGATGTATGTTTTGCTGTGTATGTTCTCAACAACAACAACAAATAAAATTTAGGAAAAATGTATTTGTTAAAATAAAAAACTCAGTGGATGTGTTAAATAGCAAATTAGACACAGGTGAAGAGTATCAGTGACATGAAAGATAGAGTAAAGGAAACATCCCAGAATGCAGAACAGAGAGACAAAGAGAAACTCTGTGATGCAGAAGTAATGGTGAGCTAAGAAAATGGTAAATATGAGGTAAATGTAAGCAAACATTGTCTATATAAAATAATTATAATTTTTAATTTGTAAAATTAAGAAAAGAACTAAAATATTGGAAAGCAATAGCATTTAAGCTGGAAGGGGACAAATCACAGTTAAGGTGTCCCAAGATCCTTGAACTGTTCTACAGAAGGTATAAGATACTGTGGTTTTGCACTGTCAACTAGCTGAAACTACACTTCCCAAAATTCCTTTCCCTAAGTAGTTCCCTATAGGGTCGCTATGGACAGAATGAACTCTATGGCAACGGTAAGGGGTTCCTAACTGAGGTCAGAATCAAGGCAACAGGTATACTAGAGAAATTTTGCATGAGATTTGGAAGACACAAATGAAAGAGCCAGGTGTACGTGCAGCTTTCTGGTGAAGGGCACCAGATTCTCCTGAAGGTCGTCCATATTATCAAGATCAGAGGCAATGGGACAGATGCAGGTTTCAGTTTGTCTGCATGGGTTCCAGTTTATCCTAGCTCTTCCCCACTTCATGTCCAAGTCTCCTTCCTGACCGCCAGCCATGTTGACCTATAGTGACTTTAGGCTCAACAACAGATGCAAAAACAATGGGTTTGTATAAAGTTCTTAACCAGTTCTCACAATTGTGTAAAATCTAATTTTTATAATAACTCTCTTATGCTATATCACTCATAGTGGTTCTGCTTCTCTGATCCAACCCTGCCTGATACATATACTATAACAAAAAGCTGAGGTAGCTAATAAATAACAGACAAAAGAAACTTTAAGATTAAACACACACACTTTTAAATGGGTCACTACAAAAATAACAAACCTTCATTTCAC